GGGCTGGCATACTGAGAATATGATCTGAGCTTGCTTCACCGACCATATCGGCACCACTGATGACTGACAAGCACCCACCTACAATTCCGAACAGCGGAAATCGCGCTGAGACTGCCAGTTGTCACAGACTGTGACTTTATGACGTCACAGACTGCGACGGCGCGGTGCCGCAGACCGTGACAACCCCCGCTACCCCACAGGCAGGTACAACGGCCTTCTCCCGCCAAGATCAAACAAAACCCCCGCTACCCCACAGGCAGGTACAACGGCCTTCTCCCGCCAAGATCAAACAAAACCCCCGCTACCCCACAGGCAGGTACAACGGCCTTCTCCCGCCAAGATCAAACAAAATCAGCCACTAGCCCCCCAAAAAACGCCATCAGCCGTGACTAAGAAGAGCAAGGAGCGTGATTTGTGCGTTGTCACGCAGCGGCCTCGCCTCATCACGCGTCTGTCCTCTGTCGGGTAATCAGCGTGTCCCGAGTGTTCCGGCCGCACGATCTCGAGGACTGGCGCGCGCCGCCGCCGTATCAGATGCGCGGCGCCCGGCGGCTCTAACACGCACTATCTGAACGCAGTCCGCATCAGCTGCACGCTGCCCAGTTGGAGCGTGACCGAAGCCAGCGCAGGTGGGCGCGTCCTCGGACAGGTCGCCGCCACACGCACGCGCGCGACGCGTCGGTCACGTGACTGACCCGATCTCCCGATAAGCGTCAGAGCGTATCAGCACTGCGCTGAGCTGGACAGGGCTGAGTGCCACGCAGCATGACTTGAGCTTTGTGACGCACTCCGTGATAGCATGCCGTGATAGGGCGAACCGTGATCCGAGTTACACGCTAGCTTTTAAAAAACATGAATAGAGAAAACATCTCAGTCAAAAGGGCACTAAAAGATATAACGTGCAAAAATGCGAAGTTTATAAAAAGTATAGTCATCTTCCCCATGCAAGGTCCAAGCAAAATTAAACATGAATGCAGGCTTCCTGTTCAAGATGGACTTTTAGTTTTCCTGTTCCAGACCAAATATTGCAACTTCATGCTTTAAATAGTGGAAATTAAACCACCGTTTGTTTACAAAGGGTACGCATAACACACGACCGAAACAATACCTAACCCAAGAAACATTAAGTCAGCGCCCTAATTGGTACGCTACTTCATGCCAACAGTCAAATGGCTGGTCAAAAAGAACGGCCCGCAATATACACATCAACATGAATAGCATAGCTGTTAGCCCCAGTTCCGGAGAATCCCTTCAGCCGCGCCTCGGCATCCGAATCCCAGGCCGGCGGCCGCGGCCACCACTCACCAGCTTCTGCAGGTCGCTGTTGCCACCCACGTAGTGCCGGTTGAAGAAGATCTGCGGCACGCTCGTCTTGCCGGTGGTCTCGCGGAGCCAGGGTCGCAGCTGCGGGTGCTGCTCCATGTTCACGTCCACGTAGCTCAGGCCGCGTGAGGCCAGCGTGGCCTTGGCCGTGCGGCAGTGCGGGCAGGCCGGGATCGAGTACACCACCACGGTACCCTTGATCATCATGGCGGCTGTGGCGGCGGCACGGCGCAGTCTGTCGGCGAGAGGCGGCGGCGCTGGGCGTCGGACGGCGGGCGGGCGGTGCAGGCGGCACGGCCGGCCGGGACAGACTGAGCGCGCGCCGGCAGCCGACGCCGCCGCCGTATCGCCGCTCGCTCGGGCGCGGCACTCCCGGCCGCGTCTGCCGCCCCGTCGATAGTCGGTACGCGCCAACGCCACTTGTCAAAACGCGGCCCGCATACATGACAGGAGGGCCGACGACGATATCAGGCACGTGTTCTTACATAGACAAGACAGATGCATTAGCCTTATTCTTCGGTGGAAAAAAAAAACAACAGGAGAATGGAGATATAGTTGGGCCGATATTTTAGCAACATGCCTTTATCGAAACAATAGTAGAAGACTTCTGCTATTGTTTCGATAAAGGCATGTTGCCGAAATATCAAACCAACTATATCTCAATTCTCCTGTTTTTTTTTCTCCGAGGAATAAGGCCAATATTGCTGTCTTATCTACGTGAATAATGTTCCTCGCCAATGTACTAAACAACTGATGTCCTTGCGTTTAAAGGGAGCGTTCTATATTTGTATGGGATTTTCAGCTGAAATAGCCATCTTGAAAATTATTCGGTTAAGTTCACAGCCCTGCCATGCTTCAAACATAAATGCCTCTAGCTTCTGTGGTGCATACTCGCGAAGAGGTGCAGACTACTTCGGGGATGATTTCAAGGTTGCATTCACAGGCACCCAAGACACCATAAAAACGTCGTTCAAATTCTGTCATTTCAAACTGTGCACGAATCAAGGCCGATGCAAATACAATTGAGGAATCGTTCACATCTGACATTTGGAGCACGATTTCCAGGTATAACGGCCGTGAATGGGCTCTCAGTTAATGTTGCACATGGCACGATGGCGCAATCAAACAATGACGAATTGAGGAGCAGATTTACTAAGCAGAGGTCGTGTTGTCTAAAAGCCGCGTTCACTTCAAACTAATATCAATAGTTAGAAGCGAGGGGCTTATTTCATTCTATCCGACGCTTGTTTCAAAATCTCCAATTGTAGAACATTGCCTTTAATTATATCAGGCTCTGAGAGTGCAGGCCGTTTTAAACATCATAGCTTTGAGCTGTGCATTAAACATTGTGAACTATGTGAAAAACACTTGCCATTTTAGTAGTAGGAAAAGAGGTTATGTTTCAGAAATGTGTACGGCATGCTGCGCGTATCATCATTATGCTTCAGCTGATTTAAGTGCACAACAAATCAACGAGACTTTGGCCTCAGGCCAACGAGTTGATTTAAACAGTTCGATGGTCTGAGGCTGAAAGCTCTTTGTCCTAACTGGCATGATTTGATCATTTAAAACTGAATTACTGGAAAGAACATGATCATCTATCTAGCAGTGAGCTATCATGCCAGAGGATCTCCGAAAATGTAAAACGAATTCCATTCGAATACGAATTCGTTCGGTAACATCCGTTGCCAAACGAAGGGGGCGTATGCATTGCACAGGAGTGGCACACGCCGCGAGTCCAAACCTCGCCGCGTTCCAGATAGGACTTCGGCGATGCCATTTCCGAGAACAGACGGGCATGGCGACTGTCGGCGGGCGGCCGGATCGTCACGTGATGTGATATGGTGCAGATCCTCTACTGAGCTGGTCAGCTCACACTCACAGGCTAGGGCAAATTACCCTTCAATTATCCTCACGCACTCGCAGCACGGCCCACATCAGTGCTTGTGCGACAAGCTGTCCTTGTGCGGTTGACTGTCCTTGAGAACAAAATGTTCTTGTGAGAGAATATTATTCCGACGCCACGCGATCACATGATTCGTGCGGTTACATTACAGGACGGATATAGATCGTTTACAGTGTGACACGTAAACAGTCTGATTGTCGGCGCCTCTGGTTGCAGCATACTACGCAAAGGCAGCTCGGGCCAGCTGAAAGGTCACCATTACGCCGGCGCGGACGGGACGGGGCGGGGCTGGGGGACGGGACGGGACAGGACTGAAGGACGGAACAGGACAGGACTGAATGACGGGACGGGACAGGACTGAAGGACGGGACGGGACGGGACTGAAGGGCGGGACGGGACGGGACTGACAGACGGGACGGGACGGGACGGGACGGGACGAGACTGACGGACGGGACGGGACGGGACGGGACTGAAGGACGGGACGGGACGGGACAGGACTGAAGGACGGGACGGGACAGGACTGAAGGACGGGATGGGACAGGACTGAAGGACGGGACGGGACAGGACTGAAGAATGGGACCGGTGAGACAGAACTGATGGGACGGAACTGCCGGGACAGGACTGATAGGATGGGACGGGACCGGCGGGACTGGATGGGACGCATCAATGAAGCCGGCATTAATGTACTTTGGTTAATGAGGGCCGATTTGCAGACCAGCTTGAATATTTTTAACTGTACTTCTCTAACTACAGTATATATTTCCTTACCAACAAAAAACATGGTAGGAGTGGAATTATGATGGACGTTAAGATGCATACATTTCTTTATCGACGGAGAATACAGCAGCCATTGACGCAGCGATCGCGTGCCGTCTACCATGCGCGGACAAACGGCGCCTCTTCTTAGCCCAAATTTTTTATCTGATGCATGTCTGGGATCACTGAACATGCTACACAAAGCTTATGGCGTGAGCCCTGGCTGCACCATATGATAGTGAAATGTCAGGCTAGTGACAGAGTCTTGCAGCGAGAGCTTGGCGTGCAGCAATGCTCGGCATGGTCTGTCTTGCCTGCTGACATCATCTGACCTTTGGCGCGGCCACTACCATCAGCTGCAGGCCATCACAGTCAGGGACAAATGGTGAGTACATAAAACAATTTGGCCCACCTTGCTATTGGTAAGCGAGTCAGAAGGAAAGTGCTCCAACAAACAAAGCTGACCAGGTGGACATGCTATATTGCCATTCTGTCAGTCTTGTGCCATTCTGTCTGTCAGTGCAGAATTCTGCAAGACCAGGTGGAAACATGTCAGCACCTGTTTAGCCACCAATACAACCTCCAATGTTAGAATAGCCTGTGGCCTGGTATGGAAACCAGAAAACAACATTGATCCCCACTATCCTTTCAACTACATTTTTTATTGTACCCTTTCACTGAAATCTAGATGAGGAAAGGATCATATCTATCTTACAGTGACCACCACTGATAAATATGCAATATGGTGTGCTGCCACTTGGCATTTGTGATGCATCAGGAGAAGGGATAACATAATGGTACAAACATTATTGTCAGTACCACCCATCTACATCAGTCACCTTCCCTCCCCACAGGGTTAAGGGGCATATGCTAGGATGATCATCCATGCTGACTGGTTGATGCCCAAAAAAGAGCATGGCTGTGGTGTGTCAAAGGTCTTGTAGCATAAGAGCAGCAGCTCAAGGCCACCTGGAGCAGACTGGAAGTGGATCATGTCTGGAAATAAATCTGGAGAGCAATGTTGTGAGCTGAGGACAATGATATTGCCCATGGTCTTAGGAACTTTTCTGACTTTGGCAAAATGGAGACTACATTTGGTTACTTTCTGCTTCTCAATATCTATTTATAACCCAGATGGTCACTGTCACTGGACAGCCAGTCATAAAGTGCTTTTTGTCCTTGTCAACATATATGTATGCCACTTTCAGCCTAATTCAAAACATAGCTCTCTCAAACACAGATTATTTGTAAATAGCCTTTGGCCACTGGGAACACAAGTACAACAAAAATTATCCTTACCGAAAGAACATTAGAAGTCCTGACAGCAGTTGGTTCCTGTAAAAAATGCATTCAGTCATGAACTGGTGTGGAAGAGATCCATGCATATGTGTTCCCAAGCTTATCAGAGATCAAAGTGTACAAATCATGTTGGGGAGATCAAGAAATAATTCAATCTCAGACCCATCAAGCTTTGGTTTATCATCATGACAACAGACATCTTAATGCAGAGATCAATAAATTACTGAACATTGGCTCATCATGACACCTACCAAACATTGGCTTATCATGGCAACCAACATACTCATGCAGACGACTCGTAAGCCAAGAGCTAGAATGAGTAAAGAGGATAAGCATTACAAGTTTAACCAGCTTATGAACATTTAAGTTGGCTAAAAATGTATTACCTGCTACCATGGCCATGGTTACCGCTGCAGCATCACAAACTTCTATCAAAAATGCTTGCTGTTAAACTGAAATTTTAAATCAAACATAACATCATGCTTACCACAATACGTCCTGTTCGGAATCAGCTATGACTGAGAATCCGCACAATCAAAAAGGATTAGGCTGAACTTATCCCAATGGTACAGGATGCAAACAACCCTAGATGCCTGCTCATTATCAAAAAACTTCACATTAGATTGTCTTTCAAAGGATGGTTTGAATCCATCCAGCAGTGTACAACCTTAAATGACGTGTGCTCCATGAAAATGTCCAACAATCAGTTCCATGCACATAATGTGCTTTTGCTATTTTAAGCATTACTCACCACATCATTACTGCTTAAAAAGCTATTTTAAATATAAAAGACGTGACCGTGAGGCAACAGAATGGCATGGCCATGGGAAGCTTGCGGTAGAATAGTTACTGTCCTTGTCACTGCCCTCGACAAACTAGTTTAAGAGAAAGCTATGCTTTCACTGGCTCAGCACCTGCCGCTGGCAACATGTTCACCCAGAACGCATCGAGGCTTACTTCCGTCCGCTTTCTCAAGTGCAGCAATTGTCCATTTGTTGGGAGTCATTTTAACCATATTTGATGACCATTCAAACACAACACGGATCATTCAAGAATCTGGAACGTCTGCCAATCCAGTTGGATATTCCGGGACGCCACGATCGCCTCAAAATTTGGTGTGCATGACCCAAGGGCATGACCCAAGGCTATCTAACGGCATGACCTCGACACGCTGATTCCGAAAATCACTGTCTTTGGGGTGGGATTTTGCGTAACCTTAGTGTTACAAGGCGCGTAACATCGCCAGATCGACGTTGCGGAGCGTTTCGATCGCCTCCAAATTTGGTATACAAGGCATCCTCGACACGCTGATTCCAAAAATCACGGTCTTTGGGGTGGGATTTTGCGTAACTTCCGCGTTATACGACGCGTAACAGTCCAGTTGGATATTGCGGGGCGTCTCGATTGGCTCAAAATTTGGTGTGCATGACCTTCTCAACACGCTGATTCCGAAAATCACTGTCTTTGGGGCGGGATTTTGCGTAACTTCCGAGTTATACGACACGTTGGATATTGTGGGGTCTCAATTGGCTCAAAATTTCGTGTGCACGGCCTTCCCAACGTGCTGATTCCGAAAATTACTGTCATTGGAGTGGGATTTTGCGTAATTTCCGAGTTATACGACGCGTAGCATCCCAGTTGGATATCGCGGGGCGTCTCGATTGCCTCCAGATTTGGTGTGCGGGGCCTTCTCAACACGCTGACTCCGAAAATCACCGTCTTTGGGGATAGATTTTGCGTAATTTCTGAGTTATACGACGCGTAACACCCAGCTGGATATTGCGGGGCGTCTCGATTGGCTCAAAATTTGGTGTGCAGGGCCTTCTCAACGCACTGATTCGGAAAGTCACTGTCTTTGGGGTGGGATTTTGCGTAATTTCCGAGTTATACGACGCGTACCACCCCAGTTTGATATTGCGGGCGTCTCGATTGGCTCGCTCGATGATCTCTTGGCTTGCAGGTCGTCGAGCTTATTTTTGACGTTCCGCCAGCGATACGGGATGGACCGAGCCGCGTTGATGGCGGATGGCTCAGCATCGTCCGTCAGCTCGATCTCCATGGGATCGTCCGCCACCTCACACAGTGTCTGCTCGCCGTCGAACACACTTAAGAAGTGCGATAGCAGCACGACTTCATGCCCACGGAAGACTTCCACCGGTGGATCGTTAGCATGTTCCCAAACAGTAAGTGGCTTCGACAGACGGGTTGCTGGTTCGGGAGGCGACCAAGGCGCCGCCTGCCTCCCGCCAGTCTCAGCTGCAGATGGCGCTGTCCTCATAGGCGGCGCCGGCAGTCGAGACGCCTCCGACTGCTGATCTTGCTCGCCGGTCTTGATCTTGACTGTGCGGGGCGGGGCGGCTCTGGTGGGCGGGCCCCCTGCAGCAGCAGCGGCCTGACACACAGCCACCCGCGCGGGGATCTGAGGGGGGAAGTCGCCTGGTAAAATCCGCAGGCAGACGCTGTCACTCCACCTGAGCAGGAACCCGGGCACCTCCGTTAGCATGTGTACGGTCGTGGTGCTCTGTCGCCCAGAGCCACCGTCGCATCAAACTGCCCGACACAGGTGAGCGGGGTGCGGCCAGCTGACGTGAATTTAGCGGTATCCGCGACAGGTGTCATAGCGGCCGTGATGCCCAGAGATCCCGCCACGCCCGACCCCATGACGATGGCCTCGGCTCCCGTCCGGTGTGCACGTCACCGCTGTCTCTCCGGCGGGGTGCGAGAGTCTGATCTCGATTCTCAGTGTGGTTCCGGCGGAGATGCTCTCCACACGGGAACAACCCAGAATACCTACCCCCAGGAGACCTACGCTCACGGGAGCTACGCTCACGAGGCCTATGCTCGCTGGACCTAAGCTCGCGAGACCTACGCTCGCTGGACCTACGCTGAGGAGATCTACGCTTGCTGGATCTACGCTCATGAGGCCTACGTTCGCTGGACCTACGCTTACGAAACCTACGCTCACTAGACCTGCGCCCAGGAGACGTACGACGACGTGATGCCCAATTATCTAGTCACTGTTGGCGGGCCGTCACCACCTACCGTGGAGAGGGTAAACGAAAGCTGATATAAAAGTACTATATAGCGTTGTCCGCTGCTCCATGGGTGTTTATTGCACCTTAGCACCGTTAACGGAACAAAGGCGAGGGAGAGAGAGAGAGAGAGAGAGAGAGAGAGAGAGAGAGAGAGAGAGAGAGAGAGAGAGAGAGAGAGAGAGGGAGAGAGAGAGAGAGAGAGAGAGGAGAGAGAGAGAGAGAGAGAGAGAGAGGGAGAGAGAGAGAGGGAGAGAGAGAGAGAGAGAGAGAGAGAGAGAGAGAGAGAGAGAGAGAGAGAGAGAGAGAGAGAGAGAGAGAGAGAGAGAGAGAGAGAGAGAGACCCCATTGATAAAAATGGTACACAAACGCCGTAACAGTGGACAGTCCGCTGAGCGCGGCGCCGGTGGCGGACGCGCCGTGGTCTCTCCCCACCTCGCGACCCCAGTGGCCATTTAGCTGATCGGTTACCATGTTTCGTTAACAATTTTAGTGGCAGTGTGAGAATGAGAGTGCCTGTGCACGAGTGAGAAGGTGAAGGGATCATTTTGCTGATCACGTGAATCGTGACTGACTACCGTGACTACCGTGACTACCGAGACGGGACCACCTGCCTGCCGGCTGTGCAGCGACGGGCCTGAGGCGACAACTACCGGCGACTTCTGAGCCTATAAACAACGCGGCTACAACCATCTCCGCTCCAGTTCTGGAGCGGACAAGCTAGCAAGCTAGCGGCAAGCCTGCGTTCTGCAATGAACGCCAGCTGCTCCGCCTATTGGTAACCTTGGCGGTCGCCCAGGTTATTGTGCGGGCCGCCCTGCCGGCCCCAAATCCCTGGCTCCCGGCTCGGCGCGTTCCCTCGGGCCATGCGGGGTCAGCTGTTGAGTGCGGACCGCGCCAGGTCACCGTGGCGGCCAGGGGCGAGCCCAGGGTTGCCTTGGCCGGCTTGGGTGCGGGCGTGAGCGCGGGCCGGCCCTCTGGTGGCCGCGGGCCTGACTCAGGGTGAGCAGCCGCCGGCTCGCCGGGGCAAGCGATCGCGGCGCCGGGGCAAGCGATCGCGGCGCCGGGGCAAGCGATCGCGGCGCCGGGGCAAGCGATCGTGGCGCCGGGGCAAGCGATCGCGGCGCCGGGCAAGCGATCGCGGCGCCGGGGCAAAGCGATCGTGGCGCCGGGGCAAGCGATCGCGGCGCCGGGGCAAGCGATCGCGGCGCCGGGGCAAGCGATCGCGGCGCCGGGGCTGTAGGGGAGGGGTCGAGGTGGCGGGCGCCCGGCGATTGCCATGCGGGAAAACTATACATCGCACAATTAAACATACAAAGTGTGAAGCCCAAAATGCCAGATCTACGTCACAGGCTAGCTGATATGCATCAGTTTGATATCCTCGCACTCAGCGAAACGTGGCTGCGGCCGTCTGTCCCCGCCCGGCTGCTGAACATTGATGGGTACCGGCTGTACCGACACGACCGGCCTGCAGACATCGGACTGCCTGGGGGTTACGGAGGGGTCGCAGTTCTGGCGCGAGACTCGTTTGATGTCACTGTTCTGAAAACGCCTCATACTACCTTTGGTTCATCGAATGTTGAGATTATTTGGACCCTTGTTCGACCCGCTAAAGCAAAACATATTATTTTCGGGTCATTGTACCGACATCCAACTAACACAGCCCGGCAGGTGTCTGATGATTTCGATGATTTGGAGAACCAGTCACAATGTATCATGTCCACACATGACCGCCTAATAGTGATTGCCGGTGATTTAAACATCAACCTGATTGGCTCGAGCACAGGCACTGGCTATCAGAAATTGATGCAACTGTTACGGTCTTACAGCCTGCATATGTGTAACGATTCCTATCCAACGTACCGTCCTGCTGGCTCGCTGTTAGATGTTACGATCACAAACCACAAGGACCTCATCCAACGCTGTGGTGTCACCGCCTGTCAGTATAGTCCGCATGACTTAACGCGAATATTGCTGAAAGTATCGAAAGAGAAACGCCAAACCAATGTCATCACATCCCGCTGCCTGAATCGAGTTGATTTTGATTATTTCAATGATTTGCTTGCGAACGCCGACTGGTCTCTCGTCTGCGGAAGTGCGACGACGTCTCAGAAGTGGGACTCTTTTTAGCAGGGTTTTACACCCCATTTGAATGCTGTCGCGCCTGCCCGGCGCATTAAATTGCGCAATTCACCCGCCCCGCCTGTCTCAGCTGCTCGCGTGTGTTGATGGTCAGTCGCCGCGTCGCTCTGGCGTACTGTTAGCGTGCTGAGTACAAGGCACTCAATAAGCAGACACGGGCAGCTATTAGACGGGACTGTCGCGATCATGTTAGGAAGCAGATTTCTGAGGCAGGTCACTCCGGCATGTGGCGGTGCGTTAAATCGATCATTGGCAGTAAACAGGGTGCGTCGGCCACACCTAACATTCATCCTGATATTCTGAATGGCTACTTTGTGAAGGTAGGGCCTACGACTGCCGCCAGCGTGCCGAATCGAGGCACGGTTTTGCCAGTCAGGCTCCCTCGAGTAATGACCTGCTCATTTAAGGTGCGTCCTGTGTCATGCGATGAACTGCTTGCAGCTATGTCTACGATGAACCCGACGACGTCCTGTGGGCTAGATGATCTTAGTACGCAGCTCTTACAGAAGTCTTTTCGTGGTGTCGGCTGTCCCCTACTTGACGTCATCAATAGCAGTCTCATTGAGGGAACGGTGCTCAGCGCCTGTAAACACGCTCTTGTCACAGCGCTCCCGAAAACCAGTGATTTGAACGATCCTACTAAATTTAGGGCCAATCTCTGTAGTGCCAGCGAAAGCAAAGATAGTCGAGCGTATTGTTCATCGTCAACTTAGTTCATACTTTAACGAGCATGATTTATTTTCGCATACACAACACGGATATCGTACGAATTTTTCA